TCAGTTTATGCAGTCGAGCGAATCTCCTGCAAACCGAAAAAGATATTGTCGCCTCTATCCCAACACTGACAGCGTTTTTCACGGGTATCATTGACATGAGTCCAGAGTGACACTCTTGGTTTCTTATGTTCTTTTCGATATTTTTCTGTTCACTAACCGAACAAACACGCAGCATTCACCGTTTATCATCTTTTAGAGACTTCATCGTGCCACCTTTGCTGTGGATTTGTAGCCTTCAACCCTTACTGACTGTAACAGCAGTCATCGACTTTTCGAACTGTGACTACAAGTTGGTCAATAGCTTCGCACAACGAAATCACGACCACTTTTCACTGTTATACTTCTGTACTTACGGTTAGTCTGTCAGATATAGATATAACTAGAATAAGACACTAATTAATAGCTGTCAACGACACTGTTCGACTTACAACTTTAAACTAATGACAGTACAAATATGGATATCGATTGATAATACACTTATCCTACTATCGTTATAGCATCATTACTCTTGCGGCAGACTTAACGTTCGTCATCGGAGGAACTGAATTGCTTGTCAAAGCTATATATTTCAGCGCGACTTGATAGAACAGTTAAACGCTTTGTTCTTTTCATTATTTCTATGGTTAATCAATTTACGTTTAAGCAACGTCCTACTAACATATTATGACTCGCTGTTTCCCGACCAGTTTCTGCCGCCTCCTTTCCATTTGTTTTACAGATAAGCAATACCTGGAGGATTTATAATATTCGTTTGGCACTCTCCGGCATGCGACTGCTCCCAACATGTTTGGTACCGATTCAAACGGCCGCTGAATCTGGTGGGGGAGTATTGTAGGGCCAGTGAAATGTCACTGAGCCCTAGCCAAATCATCCAGCAGTTGGACCACTGAATGTAGAACAGATCGTCGCTCTCTGCCAAGGTCATGTACAACAAACGCACATTAGTTAATGGTATGCCATGGACTGGCCCATGCGGAAGTGGTCTTACTTTCGCTTGTATCTACTTTAACTAATATATTTCTGTAATAACGTCCTTTGTGTTTTACAGTCTTCAAAGCATCTATAGTACCTTGTTACGTCAATAGGGGTAGTCCACGTAAGGTGCTGACCACAAGGTGTGGCTTCGACGTTAGTTGGTTCGTCACACTATTCACGTCTAACTCGAGTAGGCCTCCAATCATTTCGACATAGACCATCTACGTTGGTGATCTACACCTTGTTCAGTGTGGCGGCGAATAAATCCATAAAACAAACGGTTATGTAATTCTTCAACATTGGTGCTAACCTCACCAATTTTGCTGGACACACTAGCTGTAGACGTCCGGTCTCGCGTCTGCACAAGATCACGAGTGGGAATCCCATGCAACGCATCACTTGAAGTTACTAACCAGATTAGACCAGACGTTTCTCGACATATCTATAACTTTCCAAATACAGCTTCGAACTCCATTGTCGACTTATGACTTGACCAGGTAGGTATTATGGGGTAATCAAGGTGTTACAGACAAAAGCGTCGTCAAACATTGGTTATCAATGGCATCTTCAGTAGTAAGCCTGATGTGATATGGTTCACTAAACACTAAAGTGAGCTTCTGTTCATTATTTTACCAAGCATTATTTCTAAGTTTTCGTTTTTTTCGGGGATAATACTTTTGTATTGTCGAATTTTTTCCAGTTGTTATCCTCAATAATACGGAACACCTAAACTGTATGAGATTAAGACTCTTAGACCCCCACCTGATGCCATTCTATCCCGACAAATTAGAGGCCTGATGGTTCTGTTCCGCAATGAGTTGACTACATACATCCCAGCAATAGCAGAACATTATAGCTCAAGTGCTCACTCAATCCCCCATTTACAATTGGCATCATATTTCCTATTATTTCATCTTAGGTGTTGAAAAACGTTGTGTTTCAAAGGGATAACTTCGAGCACCATCTGTCTTGTTCCACGATCAAAAGAAAACCCATGTTCACCGCTACTTTGATTTCTTCTTTTGACATGACGAGGCTTTCCCAACGGCACAGAACACTCATGCTTCCACGTAATGGAATTTATTTTCTAAACTACGAGCATATGTGTATAATACTCCCAAAGTAAACATCCTATCAATAAGGCCTAGGTAACATTTACTTTCAGGGCGTGACTATCCAATTGCACACTAAGCAGAATTTTTCACTTATATTTCTACGCGCTTCTAGTTTACCTAGCGCATCTTTCCTTCACATCCTCAATCTAGAGAAATGTTCGGTATTACACGAGTGTTGATGTTATTGTGACACCGAGCAATATTTAAGAAAATATTTATTTGTTCCACCGACTCCATTGTTATCTTAAGAAGTCAATATGGTCGACGTTCAAAATTCATGAGAGCCTCTCACCTGGTCTTATCAAGTTGTTGACATGAACTCCTACAGAATTATCTGGTAATATCTTACGAGTAAAGACACCGATCTCTTCCAGATGATGCGCGTGTCTAATGTTTGCATCAGGATCGTTTAGTTATAGCAACTTACTTACAATAATATTCAATGAGAATGAGCTTTTTCCAGTCATTTCATGGCTAAATATAGTCTCACTTTCAGAATTTAGTGGAGTATCCTATCACTCGGGATAAAGGACTGTCTGAAACATATCGACCAAACTGGCGGTTTGAGGCCTTTTTCATCCCTTTCTTCGTTCCACACTGTCCATTTCATTAATTGCGACAGCTACACTGCAACTATTTAGAGCTCCGACATTCATACCCAGATATTCAATTCCTACCTTAAAATCGTGACCATCAATATTCAGTGTAATATCACACTTTGAATGATTCAAAACATATTTCTCTTTTTCATGTTTCAAAGTTCGACGTTTGTCTCGCCTCATAACAGCATGTGTTAGACTGACACATTCTTAACATTTTTTAGTGCAGCCACTATTATCTTTCTTGTTTGCCAACCCCAGAAGTGTTATCACCTCCCGGATCAGCGGAAAAATATACAAACCCAATCGGAGTTAGTAGTCAAGGATATTTTGCATGCGGTAAGACCTAAGCTTGCAAAAATCTTATGTAACCACCTTTTACATTCATCACATTGTATTCCATCCTCCATCGAGAAAAATTAATTTTAGCGTTTGATCTTAGATGGCTAGCGAGTGTTGTGGATGCGTAGCACAGTGTATCTACTTGTGATTTAGTGCGGATGTGTGAACGAGCGCCTTCAGCTATGATGTGTCCATTAAAACCGATGAGACCACCATAAAACATCTAAGACTTGCAAAACTATTTATTTTAAGCATATATTATTATATTTATTATGATTATGTATCGCTTCTGATGCTTCAAGGTGCGTAAACCATTGATAAGGCTGTGTGGCTGAAAATTTTACCTCTTTTATTGAAGCATTCAAAAGTGATCTTAATAAGTTATTGACATACTGAATTTGCATAACTGTGATACAACTGGGTATCATAAACAACATACACTACACAAAATATGGCGACGTTGGGCTCAGACAATTCCTGTAACACTTATTCATAAGTGATATTCCAGCTGATCAACATCTTAAATAGAAAACTAAAACAATTTTATCTGCTCTTCATACGGAAAGTCGAGGCTGTAAATAAATACAAAAATCCAGTAATATAACTACTTGATCACAAGTAATCATTACATTTTTGTGATATCACAATGAGTAGAAAAAAATATAACTAACCGTCCCATCAATGCTCACTTTATTTGAAAATATCAAGTCCAATCTTGATATTGGTACCTATTTGATCATTATTTCGTCCCAAGTATGATTTGTGCTTAGAGTTGGACTAGATATAGAATAGTAAGTGAAAGAGGTTAAAACAGCGTCCGTTTCCAATAAGGTAGTAACATTACGTGTCAAATAAGGTAATTGTGAGGACGACCCACGGGTTGACTCGAGGAAGCTTCTAATGAGCCAGAGATATTCTATCCGATCATCTTGTGGAGGAACATCTCAGAATCTCAACGTGTAACCGCCCAATTGGGAAAATGCTAAAATCCACTGTTTGCCGATTGGATGACTACAATGATGATTTCGCTTTTAGTTAAAAATATAAATACCTGAGAGTTTTGTGCCATATTGGACAGTGAAATAACATTACACCTCATTTGTCACTTGGAGGGTTCTAGCATTCGCCTGTTCATGTAGTACGCGGTATATCAAGAATACAAGACCTAAATATAACAATAACTCAAGCAATACCTGTTACTGAGTTCTACCACGTAGCCATATGGTGGGCGAATTTTGATTCGCCAAATAAGGCCACTTTGTGCGAGTCAAAAATTTAATAACAAGTGGATTTAATCGGCCAAGAAATTGTTTCGTCTTCTAAGGAATATAACCGCTTATACGTATTAGTCGGTTTAGCCCAACAAACTCTCATCACTCAGTAGCAGATTAGGGGCTTGAGTATCGGCATCAGTCTCAAACAGAAAGACGATCAGAATCGATAGTCATAAGTCTCTGTATTCTGCCATAGGACTAATAAAGATGTGTGGACTCCTCCATTTTCGAAAATAATGTGCATTTTTACTATCCAATTTTCCATGTATTAAATGGTTCTTTATATCGCATTATTCTCTACTATCGCTTAGAGAAACTTAAATTATTTCTTCATTATGATTGATTAATTAGTGTATTTTCTAATGAACAAATTTAACAAGGAAACTTGCACAGTCAATTAATTTTATGAATTCAATACCAACCCTATAGTTGAAGTGATGATTTGCAAAATGTTAGAGGTCGTTAGGAGTTTGGAGATAAAAACATTCGATTGAAGTCCCATCTGAACATCGATGCTAAGGTGAATGGAACATCGTCGAGGAGTCATGTATAAAGTGAAACACGAACCCTGAATCCCGCTGATATACACTTCTCAAGTCTGCTAAAAATACTTGTCTTTATGTCAATATCGAGGTTATCTGCTAAGGCGTCACATGTGCAAAAAGAGACCAACCAATAATTCATAATAGTAACAGAGAGATTAGAATCCTATTATAATTATTCGAAGCACTTCAATTCAATATAAGCAAACTAATTTAAAGGCAGAATGAATTTAATCCATAATTTGTTAAAATTGAAAACCCCAATATATGTAGGAAACATAGAAAGAATAATTGAAAAACAATAACTTAGTATACACATACAAATAGTATTTTGGCGCGAAAAGGAAAGAAGACTGCAAGATTTTGAGCATGAGCCAAGAAAATCATATCAATTGCTCTATTAGAAATTATCTTTAATTATCATCATCGTCAGTCTCATGATCCTCCTCATCGTCATCAGACAATTCACCACCTATATGTTTGATACGATTACTATGAGCCAGTTTAATATTCATTCTTTTCGATGGATCTTTAGTTAATTTCGACTCTAATACGCCTAGTTTGGCTAAATGCCATTCTAATTCTGTGAAGAAAAGAAAACACGAAATATGAAGAGGGGAATAAGTTTGGATGAGTTATTAGAATATATTGTAGACTAATATCATTTGTAAAATAAAAATCATCTACAGAAATTTTAGTTAAAACGGAATAATGAATATTGCTTAATTCAATAACAATGAGATAAATAGAAACGTTGAAACAGTAGTATAAGAGTGTTTTCGATTATCATTAGCAGTCGTAGCTTTCAGCAACGAACGAGTAACTACTAAATATCAGTAATTCTTAGGAAACTATGATGACCAAATAAACAGAACTGACGAACATCCTCGACCTCAAAAGACGAAGTCTCACAACCATAGAGCAAAACTGCTCTCACCGATGCGTTGTACACCCAACCTTATACAGCCAAAATCTTATCATAACGACGCTAAAGTAGCTCGGAATTGCATAGGCCGCTCAGCCTTTCACGATACACAAAATGATCTAGTCACTCACGTCACCACCAACACACACACAGCTACCAGTATCAGGAAAAGATTCCAACAGTGTTGTTGAACCGGACGAAAGACTCAGTAGACACCCAACTTCGAGGTTATCAGGCTAAATTCCGTAAGGATCGGTCGTGCACAGACCCGATCGCGACACTACGAATCATCATCGAACAATCAGCTGAATGGAACACGTCACTAAACATCAACTTCATTGACTATGAGTAGGTGTTTGATATTGTGCATAGGAGAACATTATGGAAACTTCTTCGACACTATGGTGTATCTGAGATTCCAAACATCATGAGTACATACGACGGACTAAAGTGTAGAAGGACAGCCGATAGACGCATCCCAACTAAGGACCGGAGTCAGATAAGGCTGCTTCTTTTCTCCCTTTTCTGGTGGTTGACTGGATTATGAAGACCTCGATATCTGAGGGGAGGCGCGGAATACAATGGACAACTCAGAATCAATTAGAAGATTTGGACTTCGCAGATGACCTGACTCCTCTATATTGATGCATGTGCGAGGAAGCTAATAATTGGTTATTTGCTTAGTCAGACCAATAGATATTCTGGCACTTGTTAGATGAGTTATATATTCTCTTACCCGTATTATTACTGCATTGCTGTCGGCTTACGGTGTAGAAATATACTTACGTTCTAGTCACGTGTTCTTGATCTGAGTTGTGCTGAAGTCCTGTAAAACAAACACTGGGAGGGTATCTAGTGTAGATATTCATCTAAGGCAAAGTAGCGTCCCATTAGTGCAGACGAGGAAGACCGAACGCTATAACACATACCATACAGACGAACAAATGCAGGTCAATGCAACCAGTGTAGCAGAAACCTCTGCATCAGTACACCTCAACGTACACAAGGGAAAAGCACGATAATCAAGCACATCACGAAGAACACCAACCCAATCACACTTGATGGAGAAACTCGGGAATAGGTAGAAACTTCCACGTATCTGGGTAGCATCATCGATGAACAAAGAGGATTTGATGCGGACGTAAAGGTGAGGATTGGCAAAGCAAAGAAAGCATTCCTACAGTTGAATAACATATAGAACGCAAAACGACTGTCAACCAATATCAAAGTCAGGATCCTCAATACGAACACAAAAACAGTTTAACTGTACGAAGTTGAAACTCGGAGGACTACTAAAACCAGCAATAAAAAGGCACAAGTCTTTCTAAATAGTTGTCTACATAAGACACTCCATGCCCGTATGCTGGAGATCATCAGCAACAGCCAACTGTGGGAGAGGACGGATCAGCTTCCATCTGAAGAGGAAATTAAGAAAAGATGTTTGAATTGGGTAGAACATACATTGCGAGAACAATCAAACTGCATCACAACGCAAGCTCTCACTTGGAATCCTGGAAAGAAACAGAAAAGAAGAAAGCTGAAGATCACACTACGTTCAAATTTCCAGGAGCTTAATTTTTAGCGCGAGATTCACTTTTTGACCTAGAATATGCCGATGACATAGTTCTTTTTGGTGAAGACGCTGACAAAATGCAGAGTCTTCCGATCACTCTGAACAACAGTGAAAGCACGTTCGGGATGCGATTCTCCTCCCTCGAAATGCAAAATGTTGCTTCAGGATTGGGTTGCATCGACACCCGAACTAGTGATAGGGATTGAAGTAGTTGAGTGTGTCGACCGCTCCACTTATCTTGGAAGTCTCATCAGCCCTTGTGGTTTAGTGTGTGACGAAATCTCAGCACGGATACAGAAGGCTCGACTAGCTTTTGCCAACTTGCGTCATTTATGGAATAGGCGAGATATCCGTCTATCAACCAAGGGAAGTGTTTACTGCGCAGTAGTTCGTTCCGTCCTACTTTATGGCAGTGAAACATGGCCGGTAAGAGTAGAGGATACTCGTAAGTTACAAATATTTGATCATAGGTGTCTTCGAAACATTGCTTGTATATCCTCTGACAACCGGATAAGTAACGCAGTTGTTAGGAAACGGGTATTAGGTAAGGATCGCAAATCAATTGATGAAGTAGTGAAACTTCATCAGTTGAGATGGCTGGGACACGTGTTACGTGTGCCCAACCACCGACTACCTCGACGTGCGTTCTTACATGATGTAGGAGTGGGTTGGGAGAAAGCTAGGGGCGGCCAGAATAAAACATGACACAAGTCCATGAAGTCATTGACAAGTGGACTGAGCTATGCTCGTAGGTGTAGACTACCTGGTTGGGATCCACGAGACGATAGCAACCGATGGTTAGAGACCCTGAATGACATGGCTCAAAATCATTCGCAATGACGCAGATGTATCCACTATTTGTGTTCTCCCAAACTCTAATCTTCTGTATTCTTTATGTCCCATTTCTTTTTCTCTTTCCAAATTTATTTCACTGTATTATACTCTTTAAATAACATCTCCAAACTCCAATTTTCCCGATTACTGCTTATACTCTTACTAGTTCTACCAGTACGGGATTTGGACCGACAGTTGCAACATTGTGCTAATGTGGTATGGCAACTCGAAGTGATGTACGTACATACGAAGTTCTACGTTGTGACTGACTGACACTACGTCGGCAATTGGAAGCAGACATAAAAAGGAAAAAAAGTAACTGGAAAGGGTTACTCAGGACAGGGTTGGAGGGAAAATGTTGGTGTGTGGCCTGTAATAACCTAATATTTACCAAACCATGAACTATAAAACTCAATTGATAACTTTGTTTTCGTAGTATTCGGGTAAAATTACTAATTTACAGACTCATCGAGTGACTGGAATTAATCAGCCATAAGCAACGTAGAACACGGAGTGACGAGATAAATAACAAAGGAGTCCGAGAAATCAAGCAACAATGTGAATAAGAAAGATCAAACATTGAGAATACGGTTTGAACAGAAGAGTTGAAAAGGCATATATGAAGAAATACTAGAACTCAAGATTAAAAATAGATAAAGAGTGGGTACATCGACTCCGGTGTGACAGATTCTAAGCCGCAACACTCAAAGTCTCTAACCGATAATTGCAGTTATTGTGTAAACCACAATGAGATAGTTTGAATTTACCAATATGGACAAGGCAAACTGTAACTAACTTCATGGGCTAGTGCCATGTATTCGTCTGACTGCCCCTAGGACTCTTTCAACACAATCTTATACCAGCAGCCAACCCATGTTGAGGTAAGCGGTAATTGAATATACGTAATACATACTTGGATCACCTCAGTCTATGAAGAATAATGATCGAAATATGATCTCAGACAAGATCCCGATGGATTATTAGCCTGATTATTATCTAAAATAAGTGACAATTACTTAGAAACTCTAGATGGCCGGAATAATCTTTTCTCAATTTGAAGAAAGTTTACATCCCACCGTTTTCATTGCCAAATAACATGTAACAATATCGTTATTATACATTATGTATGATATAAAAAGACACAACTGAGCAAACTCCACCTGGTGTATGGTTGTTTCTATCAGCACAAAAAATAGGATTAATGCTTGATAAGTCAGTCAATAAGTGATACACATTGTAGAACCTGGCACATATACACGTCAGTTCATGTTTCAACATCCATTAGCACAATGAAATAAAATTGTTTGGTCGAATCCCAGAGTAATGGAGTTAGTAATTGTATCAGTAGTAATAGAAAGGATTAGGAATCCAAGATACAATTTGCAAAGAAAATATGGATTAATGGAATGAAAAAACTTATAAACTGATCTGAAAACTTAAGATTTAAGAGAAAACAAAGAGTGAATGCACCAGAGTTAATGTGAACGATTTTGAGCCATGTCATCCAGATTTTAACAATTTGTGACGGTAATCTCGCGGATCTCAACCAGCTTGTCTGTACTTACCTGCATGTTTAGTTTCAGTAGTCACTGTCTTAGTGGACTGATGCCATGTCTTAGTATGACCACCTCTAGATTTCCTCCAACCTACTATTAACACCATCTATAATCGCGCTTTGTGGTAGTCAGTGGATGGGGATACTTAATACATGTCCTATCTATTTCGGTAGATGAAGACTCATTACCCTATCAATCTACTTGCCATCTTTACTCAGTATTCGGTATATAACTTCAAAATTAGCAACTGAGCGGCTCCTAAAAGTAAGAGAAATAGTTTAAGGGGACCTATGATTGAGTGCTAATAACTTACGAATGTCCTCTATTTTTCAAGGTCATAAAGTAGAAAAAAAACGAAATGCTGTGCGATATACTCATTCTTTAGTTGGCAAACAGATATCTCTGCTATGCCTAGAATCTAGCGTCGTCAATGTATGTTGTGTCTGTGAACACGCATACGGGATCCGAGTGTAATCGTTCATTTGACATAATCTGGTCAATACAGAGAACTAGCGCGATTTACTCTCCGTATATGCGGAGACTTGACTGCCAGTTCTCGTGGCCTCGCTGACCTAGGTATAACATGTTATATCCGCGAGTATAATGGGTTCTTCTAGACGATTGCAAAAGATGTTTAATTGAAGGACGGAGGCAAGAAATTAAAAGACTAGTTTCCAAACGTAATTATTACTATA